CAGTGCAAATGGCTCAGAGAAAAACAAATTTTCCCAGCCACGGACTATGGCTCCCACTCCCCTGCTTGCTGACTGAATTCTAGGGAGGAACCACCCACGTCGCTGACAGCCCAGCAGCATTAGGCCCAGTGCTGGGAAGAGAGACACGTTGTTCTCACTGGCATTCTCGGGAATTTGCAGTTTACATCATTTATTAATTCTGAGCCATGTGGGCTGACACTTTATTTCTACCAACTCCCTCTATCCCAGAAGCTCTTGAATGCAGGTGCAGCACGGAGCCACGGAGAAAACGACTTAAATAAAAAGTGAGGTGAACTGTTGCCAGCACCTATCTAAGTTGCAATAGGAATAGAAGGTATCTATAAGGGCCTATTCTGAGTACCGATTTTTAAGTCTAGAAGCTGCTCACACCCCATCTTTTTTTCCCTTTCTTTTGTTCTCACTGCAGTACCTCCTTCCAGATGCATGGCAAAGGGCTGCCATGGTTGGGTGATTCAGTTGGTCTGAGCATCATCCTGGACACCAAACTGTTTTGGGTTCAATCCCCGGCCGGGGCACGTAAAGGGAGCAACTAACAGATGTTTCTTTCCCCTCTCTCTCTGTCTCTTTCCCCTTTCATCTCTCTCTAAAATCAATAAACATACCCTCAGGTGAGGATTAAAAAATAAAAAGGCTATAAAGGACTTAGCCAACTAGCGCTCCACAAAAGAAAGTCCTGAGACACATACAGCTACAATTAGCTCATAAACTTCCCACTACCACCAAGGCAAGGAGTATTCTGGTCCTTTCCCTATACTAATAAATATACATATTTCTTGATTGCCTGTCTCGGTCTTCTTTGACTCTTAGAAAGTGCCATTCATGATTATCTTAATCTGATTCATTTGCCCCAAAATGCTGTGAGGGAGGCAGTGTAGAAGGTGCAGGAGGACAAGAGAGATCACAGATTGTGCCCACCCCCGCCTAGCAGATGGTCCAGGGCCCACCCTTCCTACGGAGGCTCCTCAGAGGCAGCAGCTGAAGTGTCTGCAGAGCTAGGACGTCACGCTGCAGCACAATTCTCCCAGACCACTCCCAGATCCAGAAACAGCCACCGGAAGAGTCACACACTGCAGCTATGCAGAGGTACTGCTGGCTCCATCACTCCCCCAACCCCCAACCATGTGCACAAAGCAGTCTGCAGCTCTGCCCTCCATCTCATTATGGGAGCAGAGAGTGTGGTTAGGTGGGGGTAGTAGGAGTGTTTCCAGGCCCAGCAGCAGTTACCAATTCGACTCGTTTTGTATTATTTCACCTGTTTCTTCTGAATGCCAAAACTGAAGCCTTCCTGCCAATGCACTGAGACATTTACCAAGTTGTCAGGCGCAGGTTTGTGGTTCTCTAGTCCAGTGCTTCTCAAGCCCTGCCCCACAGGAGAGCCTTAAAAACCCTAGTGCCCAGGCCATCACCTAGAAACGTGGTCGGCAAACTGCGGCTCGTGAGCCACATGTGGCTCTTTGGCCCCTTCAGTGTGGCTCTTCCTAAGCCTTAGGAGTACCCTAATTAAGCTAATAGCAATGTACCTACCTATATAGTTTAAGTTTAAAAAAATTTGGCTCTCAAAAGAAATTTCAATTGCTGTACTGTTGATATTTGGCTCTGTTGACTAATGAGTTTGCCGACCACTGACTTAGAACAGTTAAGTCGGAACTGGGGGAAGAAGGAGCCAGGCATCTTTTAAGGATCCTCCAGTGATTCCCATGTGCAGCAAGACTGAGAACCACTGCGCTAGTTCATCCCCTATTTTTATTTATTTCATGACATTTAGTCCTACTAAATTACGGTTGTTTACTTGTCTCCCTCCATTAAAACGTCGGCTCCGGACTCTGGACACCACAATGCTTGTTCCCTGCTGTGTCCTAGTAGCATCTAGAGCAGTGTCTGGTGCTCATTAACTGCTCAAATAACATCTGCATTGCTGCTCAGCCTCTGACTTCAGGACTGGACTCGGGCATCAGCTGCTATACCCTTTTCTCTTTTCAGTGGCTGGAAAGCACAACCACAAAAGGGTGACCCATAAAAATCCATAAATACCTTATTCCTAGCAAATCTGAATTTAATTAACAAGTTTTTATTGTTGACTTTTTTTAAAAAAAAAAAGTACTTTTATGGGTTTCAGAGAGGAAGAGAGAGGGAGATAGAAACACCAATGCCGAGAGAGAATCATTGATTGGTTGACTGGTTGCCTCCTGCACCCAGGCATGTGTCCTTGACCAGAATTGAACCCAGGACCCTTCAGTTCACAGGCTAACGCTCTATCCACACAGCTAGGGGCTGTTGCTGATTTTTAACCTCCACTACCACAAAGGAGCAGGCAGTCCTATGCAATGTCCCCCACAACCCAATAAAAGAAACTGCTTTGTGACAATGTAACAAGCAGGTAGCCTTATTCTATTGACTCTGCTCTGGCTGGCACACTGCCACAAGAAGGCAGGCAAAGTCTGAGGCTTGGTTTAATGGCCATGGTAGGGATGGCCATTTGAGGATGTTTGTCAAATCCAAGCTCCTATCTATGGAAACTGGAGCAGAGGCAGAGCAATAGAGCAGGTGAAAATGGTGTGGGCAGGCTCTCCACGGGACTAATTTTAGTCATTCCCTCTACATAAATGGGAGGAGGGGGCATTTCATAGACCCACCGCGAGGAGCACTCACTCCCTTGGAAGGGCACACACCCTGGGAGGAAAGAATGGTGTGCTGAGAGCCACTGTATCCTGGGAATAACCCTGCCTATCAGTGCACCAGGGCCACCAGCAAACATCCCCCCCCCCCCCCCCCCGAACAACGCAAACAAACCAGATGACTTTAAAGAGAGACTGGTACACGGTGTCTCAGCACTCCTTGGTTTTCAACACTGGTTACAGGGAAAATACATCTACCTCACTTACTCCTTTCCCATGATTCTGTGGAGTCATCAAAGAGGGCCTTTGATATCAGCTTTGCTGCTCCCTAATCTTAGCAATCAGTTGTTAAAAAGCTAATTCATAGTGGCTTAACTGTCCTTGAAAATCAATCTAATAAGGAGAGGCAGGAGAAAGTGATACTTTGTTTGGTTCCTTCTTCTTCTTCTTCTTTTTTTTAATCCTCACCCAAGGATATTTTTTCCATTAATTTCTAGAGAGAGTGCAAGGAAGGAGGGGGGAAGCGGAGGAGGAAAGAGGGGAGGGGAGGGAGAAAGGGAGGGAGAGGGGCAGAGAGAGAGAGAAACATTGATGTGTCACACATCAATTGCTTGCCCCCACTGCACGCGCCCGACCTGGGCTTGGGAACCTGCAACCGAAGGTCATTTGTGCCCTTGACCAGGAATCGAACCTGAGACCCTTTGGTCGGAGGGCCGAAGCTCTAACTACTGAGCAACCGGCCAGGACTGGTTCCGGTTCCTTTTTTTCCCTTTTCTTTTCTTCTAGCAACCTCCTACTGCTCTCAAGCTCAGGACACACTGTGCCTCTAACTGAGCGTGCCCTTGAGCTGTTTATAATAAAGGGGAGACCGGCACTGGCCCTATTTAATGCTAAGCCAGAGTCTCTAGACCAGTGGTTCTCAACCTTGGCTGCACATTAGAATCACCTGGGAATTTTTTTTAAAATCCTGATTTCTGGGCCTCCTCCTCCGGAAATTCTGTTTCTTTGTTATGGGTTGGGGCCACAACATTAGTAACAAAGAAACATAATTTCCGGAGGAGGAGGCCCAGAAATCAGGATTTTAAAAAGATTCCCAGGTGATTCTAATGTGCAGCCAAGGTTGAGAATCACTGCTCTAGACACCTTCAGCGGCAGGACAGTCTTGGGGGAAGGAAGCCAGGATGGTGAAAGGACAGATTCAAACAATCCAGAGGCTTGGAAATGACTGTCAGGAGTCCAGCAATGGGCTCTCTACTTGAAGAATGCCATAGATTCAGAGACCCGACCCAACCCTCACCCCGTAATTCATATCTCCTTTCCTCCCCTCCCTGGGCACCAAGAGCCCCGTGCCCCTCACTGGCTATAGGGCCTTGGGCAGGTAACTCCGTGTCTCTGAGGCTTAAGGTCTCATCTGCACAACGGGGATCATGACCCCTGCCCCGCAGGAATGTCTGCGGCCCAGAGAGGATGACACAGTGCGGAAGCACTTGTCGGAGGTCCAGCCCTGGGCCGCCCGGGCCATCGGTGCGATGACCAACTGCTTCCCGGTCCCGGGTTCTTCTCTGGAGACCGGCTCCACCTCCCGGCCCCACCTCCCCCAGGTGGCGTCTCCCGGCCGGCCGTGGGAACTGGCGGGCAGAACCTCTCCCTCCTGGGGAGCCCCAGAGGCTAGGCTGCGTCCCTCCGAGCCCGCGACCCCACCCCGGGCCCCCTCACCTCCATCTATTGATCCCGACCGAGGAGGAGGCCGCGAACCAAGGGTCGAGGATGTAAACGCAGCGCACACAGCGCGCCCCGCGCACTGCCGCCAGCAGCGCCGGGTTGTCGTGAAGCCGAAGCCCCTTGCGGAACCAATGCACTGAGGAGGCGCCATCTGTGCCGGCCGCCGGCGCTGGGGCCGCCGCTGCTGCCGTCACCGCATTCGCCGCCATCGCCGCCCTGACTGCACCGGCCACTGCCTCTCCGCCCGGGTCAGAGCTATGGCCACGCCCCCTCCCGCCCAGTGACCTATGACGCCGCCGCTCCTCTCTGTGTCCCCGCCCCTCGGGCTCTGAAGCATCTCTATCATTGGCTGAGAACCTCCCGCCGGGCCATTGGTCCACCGGCGCCAAGTCAGGCCCCGCCCCCTCACGTTCCCACCATGTGTCCGCTGGCCTGCGAGCGGCGGGCGGGCCGGTGGGCTGACGCTGGCTGGAGCTCCCCGCGGAGATCTGGGCGCGGACCAGGCAGAGTCTCGAGGGACAGCGGATCTCCTGTTTGCGTCCTGTTCAAGGCCTGTCGCTGGAACAAGCTGCCTGGGCTTGGCCGGCAGGGGTGGGGTGGAGAGAGTGGGGGGAGGGGAGGGTTGCCGTCACTACGGACAATGACCTACAGAACTGACAACCCTTCGGCCTGCATCACCACGTAATCAAAGTCATCTTAATTATCTACCGCAATTACATCATCTACAGTATTCTACCACAGCCACTATTTATTGAGAGCATTTTATATGCCAAACAACGTGATAATTTCCTTATGTATACTGTCTCATTTACTACTCTCATCCCAGGCCAGTTGCATTCATTCAACAAAGCACAGTGAAAGAGTTGTTATTCTCGTTTTACAGACAAGTACATTTTGAGGCTGCCGTAGGTTGACTGACTTGCTCAATATCATAAGAGGACTCCAGCCAGATCATTGTGATTCCTAATCTTCTGCTTTTATCCAGAAAGCTATACTTCCATCTGTGCTGAGCAACTTGACATTTGCAAGTGGCCGAGTCTGAGGAGGGGAGGGGGTACCCTGATGGGCAGCAGTAGGGGGCTGGGGAGTAGAGACTGGGAATGTGGAAGGTGTGGGTTGAGATTGGAATTATGCCGTCAAATGAACTTATTTTCTTCTAGTTCGATGTTTAGTAGACCCAATGGTACCATTGTGCACAAACACTACTGGAATTTCCTGTGGGATTTAGAGATGTGAAGGACACTGTTGCCCCTCCTGACCTGGGAGGCCAGATGGAGCCCTCTTATTCTTTTGGAGGCTAGCACTGGGCTTGCTGATTGACTGACAATGGCAAGGGAAGCATACGAACACCTGCAATGCCGTGTTGACGGCAGGCTAAAACGGTCTGGCCATGTTGGAACTCTGGGGTTATCAAGTGGCGAACAGCCTGTTTTCATTTTGGCGCTGTTGTGCCCATGCTTGGAACCCCTCCTGATCCTGGGAATGAGTAATGAAGAAATGTAGAAATTCACTGCCATTGATTGGCACCACTCTACACAAGAGTGTCATTTTAATCCTAGGCTCCCTTTCATTTCCAGAGTTTTGCACAAGCTGTTCCCTCAAGCCTGGGTCACAGTCCCCACCCCACATCCTCTCTAATTCCAGTTTGCCCGATGTCACTGCTCGGTGTAAATGTCACCCTCTTGCTGTCTGGTCCCAGCCTGCATAGTGCCCCCATCTGGTTCTCTGCTTATTACTGGTCTTAGCACAGAGTTCTAGAATTTCTTACTTGTGTTACTTCTATGTCTGTCCATTAGACTAGAAACTCCTAGAGGACAGGGACCATGCCTTATTTACAGTTTTATTTCCAGGGTCTAGCCCAGTGCTTGGCACTTAATGGAGTAAAGGTTGAACAGGGATAGAGTTTCAGGTTGGCAGGAACCTAAAGGTTTATCCTAGTCCTGATCCTGTTCTTATTTTTGTCGCCTCTCCAAATGCTTGCTGAACAAATAGCTGCCACCTCTTATGACTTTTGAGGCTTTCTATTCCCCCTCTCCTATCCCTTTTCTTTCCACAAGGTTGATGGTCTTCTAGGAATGGAACGGAGAGTTTAAGAAGATGGTTATTCCCTGTAGCTTCAAAGATGGGTACTCATCCTTTTCTCTTCTGCACTCCCATGATGCTTTCTCCGTAGACTGTTATCTCCATGAGGGCAGGGACTGTGGTTATCTTGCTCATCAGTGTGTTCCCAGCACCTAGTTCGGTACCTGACATGTAGTAGGTTCGCAATAAATGCTGAATACCATTTATCCCTATCTTATTAGGCTATCATGGGAGGCAGTGTTGTATAGTGGTTAGGCCTTAGGTCCTGCACATTTGGAATGACTGTGTTCAAATTCTGCTTCTACTTTGACTCTGGGTGACTTTGGTAAGATAGTTAATTTCTCTCTTCCCCTCTTTCTTAACCTATACAATAAGGATGATAATAGTAGCTAAGATATAGTATGCATTAAGGCGTCAGCTATTGTTATTCTGAACAGCAGAATTTGCTTTTGTCTTCCTTGCAACACCTCACCCTTGGTCTTACCCATAATGTGTGCTCTAGTAGTTGCTGAGTGAATGAAAGATTTTACTCATTTCTGAGCAACACTCAAAATTATATTAATTAATAATGAAAAATAAACAGAAGTAATCACCATCAATCCCCCAAAACAAATAAATTATTTTTATCTTTATATTGCCTGCTAGACTTTGTCCACAAATACCTTTTTATAGCTTTATTCAAAGCACAGGTGCAGTATTGCATGCATGTTGAAATATATTTTTTATTGATTTCAGAGAGGAAGGGAGAGGGAGAGAGAGAGAAACATCAATGATGGGAGAGAACCATTGATCGGCTGCCTCCCGCACGCCCCCACTGGGGATCGGGCCCGCAACCCGGGCAGTTTTAAAGAAAATATTGAGCATGTTCTATTTTGCTGAGTCGTTGTCTTGAATAGCGATATAATTCATCAAGTTGATAAAGATGAATTATGTTATTGAATGATTACCTGCTGCCTGGGTATTAGCAGCGTAACTTTCAAGAAGCAGGAATTAAGTCTGGCACTGGATAGAATACAGGAGTATTCTTGCAACGTCAACTTTTGGACTTTAAACTTTAAAAGAGACATGGAGAAATTGGAGAGACCAAAGGAACGTGTATTTGCTAAGGATTGTAATCATATGCTATTATATCTTGGAGAAAAATGAGAATTGAGACTTGACTCCATAGCTATATACCTCGCTATTTACAAGCATCTCTGAAGAGCGGTTGCATGAGGATGCCAAACAGTCGCTCCTTGTTTCCACTAAGGGTAGAACAAAGAATCTAGTCTATGTTGGGAAAAGTAAGAGATTTAAGGAGGGACTTTGTGTAAAGTGGTTTGGGAATGAGAGAACTTAGCAGGGTAGTGGGAAGTTTCTTTCCTTGCTGAAAATGTTGAAAACGACAGAGATCAGTTCTGTTTGTCTTTTTGTTACAGGCCTGCTTAGAAACTGGATTAGGCAACTTTTGCATTCCCTTGGCACTACGTTTTGGGTAAATATTTGGTGATTGGTTGAAAGGTAACTAGGGGCGGGGGAATGTCCCTAGCGAGTCCAAGTTACCCGCGCCCTCTAGTGGTGGGACTGGGAAAAAGCGGCGGCTCAGTCCTAGGCTGCACCCTTCTCCCGTTAGTTAAGCTGTACACTCAGCAGAGTTGCGGCAGCGGCTTCCTATTTCCAAGACTTAGGGCGGAGAAACTTGAGAACATGGACCTAAAAGCCAGACTCCTTGGGTTCCATTTCCAGCTCTGTCTTTAACTAGCAAATTACGTACTTGAGCAGGTTACATAGCCTCTCCGTGCCTCAGTTTCCTCATTTGTAAAATGGGGATGATGATGATGATGATACAAGGGCAGCATGGCAATGGAGCAAGATAAATAGGCAAAAATCTCAGAATTGAGAATCCAGAAACAGATCCTCACATATGTGGTATTTTATTCATGACAAAAATGTCTGTGTAAAGGAGTGGGGTACTGGTGGTTTTTCCCATAATGGTATACCAGTCAGATATACCGATGTAAAAACTTTAAACTTGACCTCTATTTCAGAACATACAAACCAATTCCAGGTAAATGGAATTGATGTGAAAGGTAAACCAGCAAAGCTTTGAGAAGATTATACATAGAGGAAGACATCCTTATGACCTTGGAATAGACAAAAAAAATCTTGAATAAGACATGGAAAGGAAAAGATGGATACATTGAACTACATTAAAATTATAAACTTCTGTTTATCAAAAACATTATTTGAAAAGGCAAACCATGGAATGGAAGAAGAGAGTTGTCACACATAATTCTTAAAGATCTCAAATCCAGAATATTTAAAGAACCTTTACAAGCAAAAAGATAAGGAAGACAGGCAACCCAATATGAGACTTGTTGAAGGCCAGAGACTTGAACAGACTCTCTCTCCTCCCTCACCAAGGATATGTAAGTGGCCACTGCATTTGTCAAACATCCAGGGAGGAGGCAGCTTTGGCTCAGGTTGCACGCTGATAACCTTGAGACATGGGCAAGTGAGTACTTTTCTGATCTTTGCCACCAGGGACTAAGAGTGTACAGGGTGTTCCTTCCAGACCAGGTGTGGCCACAGGACTGTGGGCCCAGTGGCTGGTGGGAGGGGTGGGGGTGTGTGCCTATGCCCAGATCCCTGGGGATGCTATCACTTAGGAAAGCTGCATTCAGTTCTCCCTGGGGAGCAAGTTCCTAATCTCGACTGTTCTAATGAAAGCAAAGGCATGAAAGCAAAACCTGGGGAGGCGTGTCACCTTTCTATACCATTTGACTTTTAAAAAATACACACTGTTCCTTTTGTGGTTGGTCAATTAACACATTTCTCCAAAAGATGTTAGGTTAACAAACTAACTTTTAAAAAAATGCCAAGGACGCCCTAGCCCAGTGGTTTTTAACCTGTGGGTCGTGACCCCTTTGGGGGTCGAACGACCCTTTCATAGGGGTTGCCTAAGACCATCGGAAAACACATATATAATTACATACTGTTTACAGTAGCAAAATTACAGTTAGGAAGTAGCAACGAAAATAATTTTATGGTTGGGGGTCACCACAACATGAGGAACTATATTAAAGGGTCGAGGCATTAGGAAGGTTGAGAACCACTGCCCTAGCCGGTTTGGCTCAGTGGATAGAGCATCGGGCCCACAGACTGAAGTTCGATTCCCCGTCAAGGGGTATGTTCCTGCGGGAAACAACCAATGGATGTGTCTCTCTCACATTGATGTTCCTCTCTGTGTCTCTCCCCCTCTCTTCTACTCTCTCTAAAAATCAATGAAAAAATATCCTCCGGTGAGGATTAACAAAACAGGTTGCAGGCTCCATCCCCAGTGTGGGGTGTGCAGGAGGTAGAGAGAGCTGGGTAGAAAAACAAACAAACAAACAAAATGCCAAGGATGATGGCATTGCTTAGTCATCACTCAAAGTTCAATGCTGAACCTCCATGGCAAGGGACTTCCTATCCAGGGCTCTGTTATTATTGTTACTGTTATTGTTAACTATTCTTGTAATCCTCCGAAGCAAAAGCAACAACAGAAGCTTTCTAGACCCTGTCCTGTTTCCCTGCCCATTGGCAAGGACACAGTAGAGAAGGGTGGTAAAGCCTTCCACCCTCAGGGCCTGTGCGTGTGTATTATAATCACCGCTGCTGGACAATGAGGAGAACAGCCAGAGCGAGCTCCTTCCCGAAGCTTCTCTTCTGGGAGGTGGGAAGACAAGGGCGTTTAACTGGGATAGGCCACAGGGGCAAAACCATTAGCTCTTCGGGATGCTGCATCCTTGACTCCAGGGTTCCTGTGTCCTCAGCCTCTCCACTGATGTGGTAAGACTGCTGAAGCAGTTGTATGTAAGAAAGAGATTGTGAAATGGTGGCCCGAGGCTGTCTAGTCCGTGTAGGTGCCGCACAGCCCACACAGTATTTTATAAATTTGAGCCATTGTTTAAAAATCAGGAGATAGCCCTGCTGAGGTGGCTCAGTGGTTAGGTGTGGACCTATGAACCAGGAAGTCATGGTTTGATTCTGGTCAGGGCATATGCCCAGGTTGTGGGCTCGATCCCCAGTAGGGGGTGTGCAGGAGGCAGCCAATCAATGATTCTCTCTCATCATTGATGTTTCTATCTCTCTCTCCCTCTCCCTTAATCTCTGAAATCAATAAGCATATATTTTTAAAAATCAGGAGATTGCACATAAAGGTTCAAATATCCAGCTTCTCTTGCAAAATCAGAAGTTGTGGCAATATAAACCCACACTCCCAAATGGCAGAAAATGATGGGAACTGAGTTGTGTCTTCCCTGTTTAGAACGGCTCACCGAGGTCTCCTTTCAGCTCCCCTTCCTCATTATGTTACTGGTTGTCCCCTGGGTGTTTCATATGGAGTTCACTCCTGTGATAAGTAAAATTTCATCTTCCCCATGATTGCAGCAGGAGGGAAGGAGCAGAGGTCCACTTAGCAGATGAGGGAACCTTTCCTAGGCTCCATCATCTCTCTCTACCCAGCAGGCTGAAAGGCTGCCTTGGGCAGGCCTCAGAGCTAAATCCCTAAGCAAGGCAACAGAGGCGACAAAGTCCCACCATTCTTTGTGCTGTGAGCTTCCATCCAGTAATTACATTAGCTGTGTATGTACCAGTCAGTGTGCTAAATAAGCATGCATGCAAGATGCATTATCTCATCCAGTCATGGCACTGCCCCCTGGAGGAGGAAATGTGACCATCCTCACTCTATGTATAGGTAACGGAGGCTCCGAGATGGGGTCATTTGCTTACTGTACTATCCTGTTATCTCACTCACGCAAAGACCCCAGCCAACAGATGGCAAAACTGGGATTCCAGCGCAGGTCTCACTGACTCCAAAGCCTAGAAGTTGGAAACTGGTGACTGGAGGGGCAAACTAGTTTGGCCAGCAGTAATTAGGGAAAGGTGGACGTTTTGGCTGGGCTTACCTGCCCTGTTTGCTATAGGCTCCAACAATACTGGTTTACTTGGACTCTTTCCTCGTGTATGTCACTTCCTGGCCTCTGAAAAAGGTGACAATTGTCATGTCCTCTTGCCTCCCCACAGAGTCCAACTCAGATGAGTTTGAGTTCTTGGTTCTAGGACAGAGCTGGAGGTCTGTGCTTGTCTCTGCTGAGTCCCCCCCCCCCCCCCCCCCCCCCCCCCGCCCAAGATTTATGGGAGCTGAGAATAGAGATCAGTGAAATATAGTTTGAGTTCTGGTTCAACTTTATGACCCTGATGCTATTCTAGAGCCCAAGCCTTAGAGGATAGATTGGGTTGGTTCCAGGATCCACTAATCAGTTGATTTCACTATTTTAAATCATTTCTTTCCCTTTGAGATTTAATCCAATGTGACCACGCTTTAAATCAGGGCTCATTAGATAAAGCGCGTTTATGTCAGGTATGGGTTCTCAGTGTCTCACTTCCTTTTCTGGAGGAGGAGGGATCAGGACAACCCAGAGGGCATGGGACTACATGAGTGGGTATTAGGGCAGGAATTTTTGGATCAGGGGCTTGGTTGTTACCCAGGGTAACCAGAAAGTCTAGGAGGCAAGGGTGGGTGGAAGTCCAGAAGAGAAGCTCACTTTGATTGATACAAGGGGAAGGAGGAAAGCCATGGGCCAGGTGAGAGGCTGGGAGAGTCAGGAGGCACAGCGCAGGATGGAAGGCAAAGAAGAATATTGGTTGAGGTTGGGAACCGGCAGGTGCCCAAGAGCTGCTGGGTGATAGGTTCAAGTCAAGCTCTAGCTGGGCTACACCATCCCGTTGTTCTAGTCATGGGTTCTTCAGGCTCACAACAGGGCCATGGTGACCACAGAAGAGAAATAGCACTAAACCAGTTAAGGTGGTTTTGGCTGCAAGGGTGGAGTCTTATATAACTGGCTGGTCCTTAGTAAGGGGTTGGGGGGACGGAGAGTAAAAAGCAGGGCAACTGGCCCATCATTGACCAAATCCTGACTGTTCTGGGCTCATTGCGGAGGAGGTGGTGGTTTGACTTTTAGGGCTGATTGCTGCAGAGGTTGTGAGTCAGAGTTCTGTTGTCAGTGTCCGTTTGACTATTCAGTCTCTCAGTGCAGAGAGGGAACCCGGCTATGTGATTCGGGCACATTGCTAAATTCTGTAGGCCTTGGTTTTCTCATCCATAAATGGGGTTAATAGTACTTGTCTCAGATGTTTATAGCAAATGTTTACAATAGCACCTGGCATGTGGTGAGTAGCCAGTAAATGTTAACAATAATATTACTTAATATTTAGTAATATCTACACTAATAAAAGAGAAACATGGTAATTGGCGTACGACCGCTACCCTTTTCATTGGCTAATCAGTGAGATATGCAAATTAACTGTCAGCCAAGATGGCGGCCGGCAGCCAGGCAGCTTGAAACTAACATGAGGCTTGCTTGCCTCAGTGACAGAGGAAACCAACAGTTCCCCGCCTGGGGCTGCAGGCCTCTGAGCGGGCAGTTTAAGAAACATTGTAACAAATACCACCGGACTTCAGCCAGCAGATTCGCAACATTGTAAGCAAAGACCAGAAACCTACTTTCAGCGCGGAGGCCTAAGAGCTGGAGCCAAGCCTCAAGGTAAAGCTGGCCCAGAATAAAAAAAAATAAAAATAAAAAGGAGCGGTTGGGAGTTCAGTCACCCCCAGCCTGAAAACAGCCCTCAGCCCCTCACCCAGACTGGCCAGGCACCCCAGTGGGGAACCCCACCCTGATCCAGGACACCCTTCAGGGCAAACCAGCCGGCCCCCACCCATGCACCAGGCCTCTACCCTATACAGTAAAAGGGTAATATGCCTCCCGGCACCGGGATCAGCGTGACAGGGGGCAGCGCCCAAACCCCCTGATCGCCCTGCGGCTCTGTGTGTGACAGGGGGCGGGGCCCCAACCCCCTGAGCAGCCCTGCTCTGTGCCTGATGGGGGGAGCTCCCCAACCCCCCCCCCCATGGGCCCTGCTCTGTGTGTGAGAGTGGCGGCGCCCCAACCCCCTGATCGGCCCTGCTCTGTGGGTGATAGAGGGCGGTGCCCCAACCCCTTGATGGGCTCTGCTCTGTGTGTGACGGGGGCAGCGCCCCAACCCCCTGATTGGCCCTGCTCTGTGCGTGACAGGGGGTGGCGCCGCAACCTCCCCATCGACCCTGCCTTGAGTGTGACAGGGGGCGGTGCCCCAACCCCCCAATTGGCCCTACCCTGAGCGTGACTGAGGGTGGCATCACAACCTCCAAATCCGCCCTGCTCTGTGCATGACAAGGGGCGGCGCCCCAACTCCCCAATCGGCCCTGCTCTGAGCCTGACCAGGGGCTGCACCTAGGGATTGGGCCTGCCCTCTGCCACCCGGGAGCAGGCCTAAGCCAGCAGGTCGTTATCTCCCGAGGGGTCCCAGACTGTGAGAGGGCACAGGCCGGGCTGAGGGACCCCCCCCCCCCCCGGGTGCACAAATTTTTGTGCACTGGGCCTCTAGTATATTTATAATGATACATTATAATAAAAATTTTAATCATAATAGTTATTATTTTTAAAAATGATGATGGCCCTGGCTGGTGTGGCTCAGTTGGCTGGGGGTCCTCCCACACTCCAACACAGCGGTGGCCAACCGGTGGTCCCTGGACCACTGGTGGTCCGTGAGGTCTGACCACGACCCTGCTCCGAAGGGTTGCAGGCTCGATCCCTGGGTGGGGGCATTCGGGAGGCAGATGATGGATGTTTCGCTCTCATGTTGACGTTGCGCTCTCTCTCGCTCTCTCTCTCTCTCGCTCTCTCTCCCCCTTTCCTTTTCTCTCTCTCTAAAAATTGATACTCTCTTAAAAAAAAAAAGAAGGATGATGACGATGATACTCAGCGGAAAAGGCACTGGCCTGGGAGGAGGAGGGTTCTGGGCTCTTCCCCATCACACTGTGACCTGGGGCAAGTCAGCTCCGCTCTCTCTGAGCCTCAGGCTTGTCTGTTGATTTGAGGCTGGACTCTGATCTTCACACTCATTTCCAGCCCTCGGTGCAGCCACACCAGTACCCGCCTTCCCTCCCTCACACACACCTTCCCCCAAAGCTCTCAGCACCTGGACCAGGCGCTCCAGGGCAGCAGGCTTTTCGGTTCCCGTTTCAGCGTGTTTCGGGTCCTCCCCTAGCCCCTTCACAGGAACCACGGTTTGTGGTGGGGGCGGGGGCAGGGCTGGGGCTGGACCTGGCGAGGCAGCTGGACCAGAGTGGCACTGTGGAAAGCCTGTCAGACAGGAGGGCCAGGACAGCCGGGGACCACACTCCATTTTGTCATTGGCGTGTTGAGCAAGTCATTTGGACCTCAGTTTTCTCATCTAACAACTAAAGTTCCTATGTTGATTCCTTCAGTCATGTTCTCTCTTCAATCGGAACTTTCTTTTCTTTCACACAAGTAAAAAGGTCAGAAAGATGAACTGATTTAGCTAAGCCCACACGGCTCCTGATTTGAATCTTTTACCCAAGGCATAGTCTCCTTTCATCTTTGGTCAACCTCCGCAGCAAGCAAAAAGTCAAACCACCACCTCCTCCGCAATGAGCCCAGAACAGTCAGGATTTGGTGAAATGGGCCAGTTGCCCTGGTTTTTACTCCCCCCCCCCCCCCCCACATTACTAAGGACCAGCCAGTTACATGACTCCATCCTTGCAGCCAAAACCACCTTAACTGGCTTGGCGCCATTTCTCTTCTGTGGTCACCATGGCCCTGTGTGAGCCTTAAGAACCCATGACTAGAACAACGGGATGGTGTAGCCCAGCTAGCGCCTGACTTGAACCTATCACCCGGCAGCACCTGCCAGAGCAAGCTCCTGGGCACCTGCCGGTTCCCAACCTCAACCAATATTCTTCTTTGCCTTCCACCCTGCGCTGTGCCTCCTGACGAAAGATTGAAAGCCATAGTTTTATGATAGAGAAGCAGACTGCCCAGGTTCGAATCCTAATTATTAACTGTGTGACTTCAGACAAATTACTTACCCTCTCTGTGCCTTCGTTTTTCTCATTTGTGAGATGGGAGATGATAATTGTATCTCCATCCGGTTGTTATGAGGACTAAATGAATCAATATTTGTAAAGCACTTTCAACAGTGCCTGCTATCTAGTAAATTTATTTAGGTGTTTGCTAAATTAATGAAATAGTTCCCCTGCCGATCAAGGCATGATCTCAAGTATGTAGAAAGCCCTTTGGGTTAGGACCAGGAGACCCGTGTTCCACTTTGGGCTCACCACTCATTTGCTCTGTGGCCTCAGAAGCCTCCTTTGAACTGTCTGTGCCTTCGCTTTCCTAGGCTGCGAGGTAAGGGACTTGGACATGTTCATCGATGAGCAGCATTTTTTTGAACAAAAATCAAGTCGGGGAAAAAAGCAAAGGCCCTGAGACCTCGGGGCAGTAGGTTACTATTTCCATTATTGAACCTGTTATGGAGCCTTGACAGGTGTTTACATGTGAGCCCTTTGAAGCAGATTGGGGTTTTTACATTAACACTAGAGGAGAGGCCTGAACACAAAATTCGTGCAAAAGTAGGCCTTCCTTCCCCTAGCTGCAGGCACTGGCTTCCCGCCGGCACCCGGGACCTGGGCTTCCCTCGCAGCCCTGGCTGTGTCTGGAAGGTTGTCTGGTCTACTTAGCATATTATGCTTTTATTATTATAGATGACCTATTGCAGTGCCTGGCACGTTGTAAGTACGAGTGTAGTTAAGGGCACTGTGGTTAAGTATCTATGCTGTGAAAGCAGAGACTTTCATCTGAATCCTTCGGTTGCCTCTCCCTTCCTGTGCTCCTCTCTGAGCCTCAGTACCTGTTAGGTCGGAGAGAGCCCAGGATCGGATACATGTGATGAGACAATGGACTCCCCCTGGCATTTCTGGCATATCAGTGTGCCAGACACAGATACAGGCTTCTCCCTGAATCCACAACGACCCCCACACAGATACTGACTCATTCCTGAATACCTGGCTGACCCCTGCAGCTGAAACTTCCTCAACTGAATACCTCAGCTCATGTCCCTGCCCCTCACCCAACCGCAGTATAAAAAAAGCGCCCCCCTCCCTGTTGGCGTGAATCCATGTGCCCTGTCCTTGGGGTACGTGGGTCTCCCGGGGACGCAGAAATAAACCTTTTCCTTTCCTTTCTTTTCTGATTCACTGGACTCTCTATTTCTTGCGCCGCCTCCTGAGCCACCTAACCTAACAGTACCCTCACGTAGACAGTGGGGATCAGTGAGTGCGCCCAGCTCACAGGGTGCGTGTGTGTGGGGGGGAGGGGTTGTGAAGATGAATGACGGATGTGGAGCACGCAGCACAGTGCCAGTAAATGACAGCTATTGCTAATATGAAACCCGAGGTTGGTCACCCATGTCCCAGGAAGGGGCTCTGATCTGAAAGAGAGAACAGGCTTTTCTTAGAAGCGCCGCCCTGCTGGTACCTGGACTTGGTGAGGGCGGGGTCGAACCTTCCTGCCCTTTACAGACCCACTGCTTCCCCTCAGGGCCCTGTCCACAAATTTATCTAGGCCCAGCCAGCCCCTTCCTGCACTCAGCTCCTCCCACTCCCCCCACATATACACAGGATGGCTTACTCCAATTTTAATTAAGTCACACACAATTCAGGGCATCAGGCCCCACCAACTTCATTAGAAACCATTTGGGATTGTGGGGGGACTGGAAACGGGGGTGTTGAGAAAACCCACTCTCTAGGGGAGTTGGGTGGAACAAAATGGCCAGGGGTGAAAGCAAGCCAGAGGCCAGGGGGTGTGGTGAGGACAATCAGGTTCTCCCGGCCCCACCCTCAGGGAAGAGGCTCAGAAGCAGGTTACAAGCCTTCCTGCAGGGACCTGGGGGGCCCAGCACAGCTGGGGTGGAAGGCGCTGAGCTGGGACACTGCTCCATCAGCCCCCTGGGGAGAAGCTCTGGGGGAGGCAGAGTTGGGAGAAGCTGAAGTGGCTCCTGGCTCCACTTCCTGAGCCAGGCGGCCACCAGGTGCTGGGAGACAGAGCGAGGCAGTAAAACGGGAGTCAGAGGCTAGGGAGGGTGCTAATGACCCGGTTTAACCTGTAAGAGATATGTGGTTCCCCATGTTCAAGAGGTGGGAACATGGGGTGCAGATGGTGGGGAAAGGGCGCTTTTCCATGTGCCCCATTCCCAGGCCACTTCCCAGTGGCCCCTGGGAGTGCCAGGACCAGGCATAGGTACAACTGATCCTTCGCCCCTTCCATGGGGCCTGGTGGCCTCTCTGCAGAGAAGAGGGAACACTGGTCCCTTTCCTCCCTCAGCCCAGCCGCCACTTCGCTCCAGAGGAAGCTGGTTTGTGGGGCTAAAGCTGTGCTGCCTGCCCTGGGACCTGGAGATGTGAGGTTTCCCAAACCCCTTAGTTGACCTGTGGTGGCGTCACACCCCTGTCTCCTTGAGCACAAGTGAAGACTCGATGGCTTCGCCATATGTTCCTTAAAGCTTGTGGCCTGTCCTTAACCCCAAAGGTCATGTGGAGGTAGAAGGCCCTAGGAAGGGGCAGGAAGGGGTGCCCCACTTTCCTACTCCCCAAGGGCCAATGTGCTCTTCTCATGGGGGTCCTACCCCCAAATAGGAAAGGAGGTCGAGATAGGATTGGCAACTTTCCGACATTACTTGAAAACACTGGTTCCAATTCCACCACCAGATTCTGATCAGTCTGCAAACACCCCCCCAGGTCTCTCTCTCTGGGTACGAGAGGCCTCCACTGCATTCGTGGGCTTTCTCCCGGGGTGGGGCGTTCTCCTCGGCGGGCCATCCCGAGGTCCCCGCAGGAGCTCACACCCCCACGCCACTCTTCTCGCTGTCCTTGGGGCTGGGCTCCTCCTGCACCTTCTTCATCTCCCAGCCCCTGACCCAGGTGTAGGCGGAGGAGCCCCCCAGCACCATCATGTTGCTCGTCCACCAGAGGAAGCTCTTGGTCTCCTCGTAGTAGAGGACGGCCAGCACCGTCTGGGCACAGGCCTTGGCCGTGCCCGACACATTGTGGGTCAGGGGACTGGTGAACTTGATCTGCAGTCCTGTCACGTAGCCAATGGCAAAGCCAAACAGGCCTCCCAGCGTCATCATGCCCCAGAAGTGGGCACTGCCCAGCTGGGCAAAGCGGAGGAGGGCCTGAAGCTCCCCCAGCAGCAGGAGCAGGGGCAGGAAGAGGACGCAGGCGTTGACGTTGTTATAGAAGGTCAGGCGCCAGATGCTGCCGTCCACCGCCGGGAGCACCTTCTTGGTGTAGATGGCGTTGAGCGAGACACAGAGGCTGGCCAGCACGCCAAAGAGGGTGCCCGTCCAAGACAGGGTACCCTCTGCCCCCTCCTGGTCCACACCAAGCCAGAAGCCACCTGCAGTGGGGACAGGAGAAGGGGAGGGGGTGAGGACAGGAGGAAGAAGGACAGAGAATTTTGCCCCTAAAGTTCACAAACTGTAAGGCTGCCTCACCATCCCAGCCTTCCCAACCCCCTTTGCAACAAATATGTCAAAGTCTCCACTACATGCAAAGCACAATACAAGGGCTGGGAAGTGGCCCAGGACAGGAGCCTTCCTCACGGGACATGGTTCCAGCCAAGGAGACAGGCGCTAAAACGATTCATCTCTTAACAATTGTAATGAGGCCCATAAAACAGGACAGGGTGCTGTGAGAACCCGTAACTGGGTGACTATGTTGGCCTGGGGCCTCTGGAAACTTGAATTGAGTTATGAAGGATGAGTATTAGTGGTTACAATGACCTTGGGCAAGTGATTTAAGGTCTCAGAGGCTGGGCTTCCTGGTGTGTAAAATGGAAGCCTATGGGTCTTTTCCGATACTCCCAGTCCCCAGACCTCTTCCTGCCTGCGCTTCCCTTCAGGACCCCTGGCCTGCCAGGGGCTGCTGGGCACCTGCCCACAGGGACAGTACATTGAGCCAGACCCCACCTTCCCAGCAGGCAGGGCTGAGTCTTACGTGTTGTATACCCGGCTACAGCATCTGGCAACATGGGGCGGGAGGAAAAGTTGTGGTGTCAGAGATTTGGGCTCTGCCACCTCAAGGCTGGGTGGCCTGGGGAAAGTTTACTTAACTGCTCTGAGCCAATTTCCTTCAGCTGCAGAGATCTGGGTCACTGTCTTTTTTATTTTTTTTAAATTGATTTCAGAGAGGAAGGGAGAGGGAGAGAGATAGAAACATCAATGATGACAGAGAATCATTGATTGGCTGCTTTCTGCACGCCCCCTACTAGGGATCAAGCCTGCAACCCGGGCATGTGCCCTGACCCGGAATTGAATGGTGACCTCCTGGTTCATAGGTCAACCCTCAACCACTGAGCCACGCTGGCCGGGCTGGTCACTGTCTTGACCCTTCTCTCCAACCAATCTACTCTTCACCTTGCAACCAGAATGACGAGGACCTTCCTCACATACAGATCTGCTCAGGTCCTGTCCTGGCTTAAAGCTCCTCCGAGCCTCCCCACCGCCTCAGAAACTATTCCAGACGCACTGCACTTGGGGAGCCTCACGTCTGGGGAGCCTTGCCTGGGCCCAGCCATGAAGAAGGGCACATGCTCTTCCTTCTGCCTGGAAGTTTCTCCTCACTCCTTCCTTACCCCATCTAGACCAGTGATGGCGAACCTATGACACGCGGGTCAGAGGTGACACGCGAACTCATTGTTTTGGCTGATTTTTCTTTGTTAAATGGCATTTAAATATATAAAATAAATATCAAAAATATAAGTCTTTTTTTAATATGGTTGCAAATATCAAAAAATTTCTATATATGACATGGCACCAGAGCTACGTTAGGGTTTTTCAAAATGCTGACACGTGGAGCTCAAAAGGTTCGCCATCACTGATCTAGGACTTCCTCCAGAAGGCCTGCTTAGATGACCCCTTCCCAAACACCTCTCCCTCCCCGCCCAGCCAGCATTCCCACGGCACCTTCTATGTCCCCATCACCGCTCTTACCACCCAGTCCTAGCTCCTGTACTGCCATGCATCATCACTGTGACCTCCAGGAGTGTAGAAGCTGAGTCTACCTTTTCCAAATATGTATCCCCAGCGCTTGGCACAGTCCTTAGCATGTGCCTGATCTCATGAATACGTGTCGAATGACTGACAGAGGTTGTTCTGGAGGTGCTCGGAGGATTAAAGGAGACGAGACACGGGCTGCACTGTAGGCACTCATTCCCAGCATTCTCATTCCAGCCTTTGCAAACAGGTTGCCCCTGACCTGCTCTGGGGATGGAGCAGGTGGGCTTACAGAGCACCCCCAGCCCTCCTGCTGGTTACCTGTTGAGTCCAGAAGGGACTGCCACCCCAAGGTCCCAGACCCAGAGGGATTCTCAGCTAGAAGGAGCTTTGAAAGGCAGTGTGACCTGGGGGAGAGGGGAAAGGAGGAGGAGGAGGCGGCCTGGAGTAGATGCCTTTGACCCACCCCCACAAGGAGGAAGGAAGGAAGGGAGGGAACAGGTCCTCGGCCAGCAGAGCGCACTGGCCTCCGTGCTGGCCGGTGAATGCACCTTCTCAGAAGCAATCTCACCATCAGCCACTTGAATTACTTTTTGGATTTGGGCCCAGTTTCCCTACTGACATCGCCTTCCCGCATGCAAATTCTCCCACCAAGAGCATCCCCCACCCACCAGCACACACAAGGTCTGCAGGACTGAAGTGGGGATCCCTCAGACATTTGGGGACGTGTGGGAGAAAGTGAGGCCTCCCCTGGGAGGGGAAGGGACAGCAGCTGAGAAAGAGATGACAGGGATCTTAGCAGCTCCTCCCACTCTGACCTCCACCCTTCTCCCCTTCCTCCCTCCCTGATCTTGGGGCGAGATCCCTCCTTGCTCAAGGGGGAACATTTTCTAGGACAGGTGGCATGGGATGAGGCTCTCCCGGCAACCAGTCTACTTTGGCCTTGGACTCTGAGACACCAGTGAAGAATATGTAGGTCAACCAAGACACACGTTCCAGCACCAGGAAAAACCAGAACAGGTTTAAGGAAGGATCACATTCCTGGATGACAGAGGCCCAGGAACAGTGGGGGCTGCAATAAAACAATACGTGTTCTATAGCCTGTGCTGTCCAATACAGTCGCCACTGGCCACATGTGGCTACCGAGCTCTTTAAATGTGGCTAGAGAATCAGGTTGAACATCTGTAACTGAGGAACTGAATTTTCAAAATTTAATTTGAATTACAGTAAGTCTTCACTTAATGCCATCCACAGGTTATGCTACTAAAACAATATAAATTAATATATAGGCTAATTGATATAAATAAGTGTTAAGTTCCTATGCATCTTATCATTGTTATAAGGAAATGATGTTATTTGAGCACCTGCTCTAACTTAGACTGAAATAGACACATGTCCAGTGATTACTGTATTGGGTAGTGCAGCTTTAACGTCGAGGGGATGAGGACAGAGTGGTTAGAAGCACAGGACTGGCAGTCTGACCAATCTGTTTGCACCCCAGCCTGGCTACTTCCTCACCGTGTGCCCCTGGACAAATAACTTAACCTCTCTGAGCCTCAGTTTCCTTGTTTGGATGGAGATGCTCATGGTGCCCAGAGACCTCTGGGGAACAAAGGAGATGCTATAATACGTGAAATGATTAGCACAATGTCCCATCAATAATTGTGATTTAAAAAAATACATTTTTATTGATTTCAGAGAGGAAGGGAGAGGGAGAGAGAGATAGAAACATCAACAATGAGAGAGAACCATTGATTGGCTGCCTCCTGCATGCCTCCTACTGGGGATCGAGCCTGCAACCCCGGCATCTGCCCTTGGCTGGAACTGAATCTGGGACCCTTTAGTCCACAGGCTGACACTCTATCCACTGAGCCAAACCAGCTAGGGCAATAATTGTGATTTTTTTGAAGGTCAAGTCTGGGAAGACAGTTAACACCTCTAAAAGCATATCTCTTACCACTGTCTCAGGCGTTACTATGCGTCTGCAAGGTCAGGACGACAGTATATTTATTAAAAGAGGAATTGTCTCATAGAAATGAGATGGGGAGTCAGGACACCTGAGCTCTTGAGTAGCAACAGAGTTTAGAGGTCAAGTGTATGGAGCCTGGTTACTCGAGATCAGATCCCAGCTCTGCCACCTACTAGCTGTGCGATCCTGGGCAAGTTACTTCACCTCTCTGTGCCTGGGTTTTCCCCTGTGAAATACAACAGATGATAATTTCACCTGCATGAGGCGCCCTACCTGGGCCCCCAACTTGCTGGGTGGCCTCAAGCAAGTTATTGGTTCTCCCAAGCTCATCCTCACATTACCATCAAGGGAGCTGGGACGGATAAAGTCGACAGATGCTTGGCAGGGTTGTTCCTTCGGGTCTGGGCCCCCATACCGCCTCTGTGTCCCACGGCCCGGGCCTGCCACTCACCGATGATGATGCCGCAGGCGAGCAAGGCGTAGAAGGAGGTGGTCTGCTTGAGCAGCAGGTAGGAGAGCAGCACGTTGAAGACGGTGGTGAGGGAGCGGCCCACGTTGTAGAAGGCCACACCCACGTACTTCAGGCAGAGGTTGTTGAAGGTGATCATGCAGATGAAGACCACGGACAGGGGCAGGACGCTGCGGGCCACCCTGAGATCCAGGCGCAGGCTGGGGAACTCCACGGCCCCCGGGCAGCAGGCGGCCAGGGCGCTGAGGCCCTTGCACAGCAGGGTGGTCACCAGGCACTGGTAGAAGGTGACGAAGATGGGGGTGTTCAGCTGCAGGGAGGGGCTGTCCAGCAGGTACTTGTTGAGAAACACCATGGAGATGGAGGTGACCCAGTAGAGAGAGACGACCAGTGCGATCTGCAGGGCCCGGAGCAGGAAGGGCTTCCCCGGGCTGGCCTCTGCCCCGCCGGCGGCGTCGGGCGTGCCCATCAGCGCCATGTGCAGGATCCGGGAGCGCTTCAGAGGGGCCCTGTTCATGGCGGCAGGGAGCGGGGTCACGGCATGGCCAGAACTGGTCTCCGGGAGGAGCAGCGGGCGGGGAGCGCACTTCCACTTTCTTCAGGCCGCGGCGCTCACCGGCCACACGGGGCGGGGCCCGCAGGCCTCCCGCCGCCCTCTGGGAGGGGGAGGCTGGGCTTTGGGGTGAGCCTCCCCACCTGCTCCCACCCCAGGGGCCGCATGGGACCAGGCGCGGGGAAGGGGTGGTGAGCAGGCAGAGGACACAGCAGGGGCGAAGGGCCCCCGGGGAGGAGGGGAGGGGAGCGGAGCGGCAGGGAGAGTGGGAGGCGGAGGAATGCGGGCCCGGCGGCTGGAGTGGCGGACGGCATGGGGAGAGGTGCGGGCAGGGCGGCGCGGGCTGCCGAGGGAGAGAGGGGTTGGCAGGGAGGAGCGAGGCCTGGGGGAGCTGAATGGAGGGAGGGCGTCGGGGGGTCGGAGAGGCTCGGGGCGGGGTCCGAGGGCCGCGGGAGGAGGCCGGGCAGGGCCCCGCAGCCCGCGGTTTTCCCGGCGCCGGTTCCGGCTCAGCCCCGGAGCTCGCCCCAGTCAGAGGCCGCGCCCCCGGCGAGGCGGGCCCAGGACTCACTTCCGCCTCTTCCTTAAAGAGCCCGCACCCGCGTGGCACTCTTAAAGCCGCAGCCCCAGAGAGTCCGAGTCTGGCTCGCGTCGGGGCCCCGGCCGCCACCCAGCTCTCGGCAGCCTCGGAAGGTTCTTCTGGGTGTTTGAGCCTCGCCTCCTTCCTGCAAACCCCGCTGGCTCCGTCGCCTCCTAAGGCTAACACCCCGACTCGGCCCATCGCCCCAGATCCCCAGGCAGACGGCGCTCCCTCCTCCCCAGCCTCGGCACCCCTCGCTTCCCTCCACGTCCAGAGACACCCCCGCCCCCGCTGGCCCTGCGTCCTTTACTTAGTCTCAGCTCACTCTGGCCAATCCTCTTTGCAGTCCCCTCCTTCCACCCACGTTCCCCGTCCCCAGGCCTCTCCCAAACCCGAGATTCTCTGCAGCGCTCCCAGACCCCGGTTGCCACGACGCCCTATAGGACCTCAATCTGTCGCTCGGTCTCCCCCATTCCAGACCCGCGGGTGGTCGGATCCGAGCCCCAAGGCTTCGCCCTCTTCCCTGGCTCCTTCCCCCTTGCAAAATCCTCCTCCCCATGCTGGCCGGGCCCAGCTTGCAAGCTCCGGCCCCAGGGCTGGCGTTCCCGGGCCCCTAAAGCGACCCGCACTCACCTCGCTCTCCGCACTCACTGTCGGTCCGCGCCCCCTGCGCCGCACCTGCAGCACCTCGCCCGCCAGCGCACCCAGGGCCGTGCCCGCCAAAGACAACTTCCTGTTCCCAGCCCCGGGCGCGGGCGGTGCCCCGGCCTCACGGCCCGCTTCCCACTTGGGGCCCTGGGGTGGCGGTGGGGCCCCGGGTCAATCCAGTGGGAGCAAGTACCCCGCTCTTTCCAAGGCCATCCCAGCCCCGGTATCTCGCCCCAGCCAGTGGCCCGGAATCCCCGCTCCGGTTACCGCAGCTGGCAGGTCCCAGGATCCGGCTGCATCCTCCGCCCCTTGCTCACCGGCCTGGGCTTCCAGGAGTGCGAGTAACGGCTCGGCTCGGCTTCTCTCGCTGCAGCGCGGGGAGGGTCCTCCGCCCCGTCCCAGGACCGTGGGAAGTCGAGTCACCAGCCCAGGACCGTCACTCTCCACGCGGGCGCCTGGACTGACGTCTCCCTGGTTCCCGCTCAAGCACCAACCTTGGGCGGCTCACTTCTGAGTCTCATTATTATACACCGTTGGGTTGGACTATACCAGTGGGTCTCAAACTCCTTACTCAAAATTCTAGCTAGTACGGCTGAAAGTAGGGAGTATATTTCAAACACCATTTAATTGATGTTACAGAAGACCAGAGAAAAACCAAGCAACTCCCAGGGAAATGGAGTTACACTGTTTATTATGCCCTCAGGCCCAGAGAAAGCGTTCAAATTCTGAGCAAAAACATGGAGGAAGCCCTCCCCTTTTCTATCTTTCCAGCCCTTTGTCTCCCAAATAAGGGTTTTCTGGTCCTCTTTACAAGTTCTTAAAGAGCCCATGTGCTGAGGCAGCGGTTCTCAACCTGTGGGTCGCGACCCCTTTGGCGGTCGAAGGACCCTTTCACAGGGGTCGCCTAAAGACCATCCTGCATATCAGACATTTACATTACGATTCATAACAGTAGCAACATTACAGTTATGAAGTAGCAACGAAAATAATTTTATGGTTGGGTCACAACATGAGGAACTGTATTTAAAGGGCCAGAAGGTTGAGAACCACTGTGCTGAGGCCTTGAGACCACAATTAAAGGCCTCGCCTGGTGCCAGTACTGATAATTCCTCCTGGGGATGGTTTACGGTCCCTCTAAAACGGGAGTAAACAGGTCTTGCAGGAGCAGACAATTAAAGGGGCAGTGCATTAGGTTAATGGCACAGATTCAGATTGCTAGCCCCCTAAAAATGTCTCATTTTCCCCATCGGTACCATTTAATTTACTGGTGAGGTATCGAGGTTTGCTTTAAATTACTCAGAATAGTCACCAAAGAGAAAAGAAAATGGCCAATGAAACAAGATAGGCAAAGTGTTGATAATTGTTGAACCTGGGCATAGGTACCTGCGGGTCATTGGAAGACTTTTCTTACTTTTCCAAGGTAAAGGGTAAAACCTATGAAGTACATTTAAAGTTTCACATGCGAACTACATAAACGCTCACCTGAGCTTAACACAGCCCTGGTGGGCGATAGGAAACTGGGAAGGGGTATGGGAAATAAGTTCCATCCAGCAGTCCCTGGGCAGGTGCAAGCTCCCCAGTGTGAGCTCTGCCCTAGGCCCTGTGCGCTTTCCCTAGCCCTCTGGCCCTCACTCTGTGATACCCACACTCCAGGGACTTCCTGCTTCCTAGTTATGGGCCGGTGGAGGATGCCTTCTGGCCACCTTATCACCTTTGGGGAAGGAGAGACCTCAGTGGACTGAGCTGGTCATCTGACCTTACTTGGAGGGTCTTGCTCCTGGGCCGAACTGTGAAGGTGGTGGGTTTCATTAAGAGCAATACGTGCCCCAGTCTTTTCTCTCTCAGGTCTGGTTTTTCACCTGACAAATAATTGAATGACAAACAGGGAAACTTGTCTCTGAGAAGCCCCGCTTGTCTAGACGGGACCCTCTCCTTTTCATAATAACAGGAATTAATTTATCTGATGAATGTGCTGCCAGCTTGAGCCCCTTACTTTTTCTCTCTCTGAAATGGAATCTGGAGCAGAAACAACAATAACACCTACGTTTGTTACAGCTGATTCCTGCGGGCGGCGATGCCCAAAAGCCCACTCACCATTTCCTGCCTCTGAGACCCCTGGGAGCTGCCTTGCTTGCTATTTCCCCAGCCTGTTCTTCAGCTTTCCCCCCAGTTCTCTGAGCAGCCCTGGACTCTTCCAATCACCTTCTTCTGTACAAGTTGCCTGGAGTCTGTATTTTTTGCTTGAATCAGAGAACCCTACATGCTACTGTGGGTATTTCTCTCTGTCCAAGAAGAAGGGTCAGGGGAGCAATTAGCCAGTTCCAGAGCGTGAGTCCAGCCACTACAGCTGCACGCCTCCCCAAGCGCTGGGATTCCAAAGAGCAGGGTGGGAGAAGCGAACAGGGCAGGGTAGCAGGATGTGTAAATACTGGTGTGTTTGCAGAAGGGCTGCCATCTGGTGGATGTGGGTCAAGGTTGGCTTCTTTCTTTGGGTCTTTGCTGTAAACCTGGCAGAGAGGACATGGTGGTGTGAGATGGGCTGGTGTGAATGCCTGGGAACTTGAAATTGGTTTAATTTTACAAACATCTTCTGAATGCTCTTTATGTTTGACCCTCCCCTGTGCTCCTTCCCCTCTACTGGGTTCACTTTTCAGTTCAGATGGTTCATGGGACACCTTACGCTGGCATGTTGATGGCCTTTTTGCCATTAGTGGGCTTTGAATGGTCTGAAATGAACATAAAGACCCCAAGTTTAACATATAGATTATATGAATGAATAACTGAATACAAAAATAAACTGAGTTAATTACAATTCTGGAGCCACAAAATCCATAATAAGAAATCGTTTTGCTAACTTTATGCTTTTTTCTGTCCCTTGTAGGATAGCATAGCAATGAAAACCTTACCCTCTAGAGTCAGCTATGTTCAAGTCCTGGGTCCACACTTTTCAATTTTTGTGGCCATGGCAAATCACTTAACCTCTTTGGAACATAACAGAGAATGGTGATAATATATTAGTGTAGTGTGTCCCATATTCATATTCTTTATTTAATTTAGTTTAATTTTTTCTGCTCTGCCCTTTCAATGATTCCCACATCTCTTCTGGTCACTGGGCACATGCTTCATCATTGCACTCACTGTATCAGTTAGCTATCGCTGTGTAAAAACTCTTCAAAATTTAGATTACAGGTATGTGGCGCAATTAGGCAGTTTCACGGGTCTTGGCTGGGCTTTCTCACGTGCTCTGCGGTCTCACATATAGTCGGCTAGGATGGGTTCAGCGGGGTAACTAAGCTCTCCTCCATAGGGTCTCTTACCGTTCAATAGTCCAACCTGGGCTGTTCTTATGGAATCAGGGCCGGAGTCTGAAAGAGCAAAAATAACAAGGCCCCTGCTTTATTTATTCTATTGGTCAAAGCAAGTCTCTAGCCTAGTCCAGAGTCAGGGTTGGGGGGGACTACAGAGCTACAGGGCAAAGGGTGTAAAGACAGGCAGAGTCAATAATTGGGCCCATTAATACAACGAAATCTATCCTGCACACTGCAATGTAACTTGGTTACTTCTCTCTCTCCCCAACCAGACTCTCTCTTATTCACCGCTGTGTCCAGGTACCTAGGCCCAGAGCTTGGCACATAGTAGGTGTTTAATGAAGGTTTGTTGACTGACTAAATGAAGAGCTGGGCTGTGGGCCGTGGCATGCTGGAGAAGCAACTGCACGGCTGACTCCTGTAAGAGGTGACCCAGTCTAGATGAGGACCATCATATGTCGTCATTCGCCGAGGTTTGGTTTCAGCCTTCTCCATAGCCTAACTCTTCTATTTAACCTATGCTTCAGCCTTTGGAAGGTCAAATAGCTGAATGCCTATTTTGGTGTCATTCCTGACATCCCCGAAATTGTACAAAATCTTGTGATTAGGAGAGGGACATCATATTTAACCAATCAGGACTACAAATAAGGCAGGCAATTTGAATTTATTATTAATATCTGAACATTTTTATTTTACATTTTTGAACATTTTTAAACACGGGTAAGCATTGTAGAAGTTATTTGAACTGAAAAATCTCCTTTTGTGCTTTAAATATTAAAATTATTTCAAAAAAATTATTTCAATCACTTGATGAATACATATTATTATTCCAGGCTAAAATGGTACAATAATTAGTGATAATGAAAAGCTGTTAATTTTATGTACAAAAGTAATTTATAAGTTTCACATCTTTAAATAAGTAGGAAAATAGACTGACAGCTCATATGGATGTTAAGAATGTTAGCCAGATAACTTTAGGAAGGACATTTTATTTTGTTGGAACCAGTAAATGTTTAAGCAAATTTAAATAAGAGTACTAGGCAGAATAATGGAGCTTCAATTATCTTTTATAATTCAAATCTGTATAGAATTGTTTGGTGGAAGAGTACATTAAACCAAATAACTTTTAAGAAATGTATTAAACTTGTAATTATTTAATTCCATTTAAACCATTAATCTTTCACGAAAATGTCTGTTTGGGAATTATTCTTATCTTGTGGGACCAATTAAAAGCAAAATGTCTGTTTTGCCACCTCAAAATTTTACCAGGAAGAAAAATTCTGATGTCAAGTACGACACAACCCAACCCATGATAAACTGACCCATGATAAAGAATATAACAGTATGAAGGAAAAGGAGAGGTGGTCAGAAGTAAAGAGGATCCCCTCTTTTATAGATATCTTGCTTTTGCACCAACCCCAGTTGAAAACGAGACTTCTTAATACGGCAAGTGTGCAGCCCTAACTGGGGGGCGATGTAACTGCTGAGGGTCAGAGGCAGTAGAATTCCTGCACACACGCCACACTTCTCTAAATTTAGGTTTAGTAAGGGGTACATTACATACAGAAAAATGTCATTTTGGGGTACCCTAGTCCGTGGATTGACAACTGGGGACTGAGCCTGCAACCCAGGCGTGTGCCCTTGACCGGAATCAACTCAGGACCCTTTGGT